GGGGTGATATATGAACATGAGTAGCAAAGATCTATGACAAGCTTCGACCATTGTTCGCGACGGGTGGTCGGTAACCACCGCAGTTAAATGAAGACAAATTCAAGCCCGGTTTGGTTCGAGCTTTGAACGCGACCGCTGATTGCGCGACGAGACAAACGTGACGAAGCGATTGCTGAAAGCTGCCTTTTTCATTTTTGCATCGATATACATATTGGAGCGAAAAATCACTTTTTCGTCACCCGGTTTCAGCAGTTTTACGTCTTTCGTTCCAAAAACACGTAGGATAACGGTAACGAGCGTTTTAAAATATTAACTTTTTTTGATTGTATTGATCCAGTATAAATGAGAAAAATATTAAGAAAAAAGTTTTTACAACTCATAAAATTTTCTTCAAGCGGCAAAAGTGTGGAAGCTAAATTATTTTGTAATTAGCAGAACGTCGCGGAAACCGAAGGAAGGAACTGATAAAACTTTTTTTGTACTAAAATTTCATTTTTTTTTTAATTGTGATAATAAATTAGTCTGGCATTATTGTGTAGCATATGTACTAAGTGATTCAGATAAACTTTAATCTAGTAGATAACACAAACTATATGACACCTCGTTAATCTAAGATCTACTTGATTAAAGTTCAACTGAATCACTCAGTACATCAGCGATCAACTCCCTGCTTACTCAAAATTCTCCGTCGTCGTGTTCACACTTTTTTTTTAATAAATGCTGATGAAAAATTCATTCTAAAATGAATCGTTTGTTTCTAATAGAATTTTTAAGCTATAAGAAAGAATCGAGTCCATCAGACATAATCTTCGTAACTACTGGACCGATTGTTGTCGAATTTTGTATGTAGGTATGTACATAGGTAGGTAGGTATATTAGGAATGTAGATGGTAAAACGCTAAACAAAATTTGATTAAGCATCCCCACCAACAATTTGATGACGTTATACAGTAATAGCTCCTATACTTGTGGTCTATGACTCTGCTTTGAGATTTTTCTCTAAACAGCCAAATGTTAACTAAAAATTAACGCAATATAATAACATTTTACCACTAACTCAGGATATAACCGGCCGTGACCATACAGTTAAGGCGTCAGTATGCGGACCGGCGGTCGCACGTTCGATGGCAAACTTGGCCGTTTTTTTTCTGTTTTTCTCTCTTTTTTTGTTGGCCAAATTAAGAACGAGTCACCCCATTTTATCAAAAAGGTGAAAATGCGTAAGTTTTTGTAATAATAATATTCACAACATTCTGTTCATCTGTGGCTTAATAATTTTAGTTCTCTGTTTTGAGGCAACAAGCTCATTCAAATCAAACAAATTTTGACGTGACGTTCTTCCGATGTATGACCAAATACTTGAAGTTAAACTTTGTTATTATTGCTGAGAGGCCATTTTTTCTTTTGTTTATCTATTTTAAATATATTTTACATGTCCGTACTTGTGCAATTTGCACAAGCGCGTAGTTCCAGTTTGCAGAGAATACATTTATCATTACCAAAGAAATACACGTAGTGCTTGAAACTTGTAGGAATTTTTTAATAAATTTTTAGGTATTTTCAATGTCTAAGGAATTTTGCCAACGCTGATTGTTATTTTTGTTTCTTCAAATTAAATTCTAAGATATTTTTGCAAAAAAACGAAATTGATTTAGAAGCCGTTGTAAAAAATGTTTTAAAATATGAACCAACATCTATACCGACCACTGACGTTTGAAGTTTTCAGTATATAAACCTAATTAGTATAATTACACATAGGTATACGTCCAAATTTTCTGACCGAAAAAATTGGCGGTATTTTTTTTATTACCCTGAATAAAAAAATTGAAACCATCAGGTATAAATAATTTTCTCGTTTATAATTTGCATTATGTTAAGATGATAATACATATGTTATTATACAGAGATTTACTTATCGAGATCTACATGGTGTAAACTTTAAGTTCTGTTAATGGTTTTTCTGCTACATTTTAGAACCAAAAACATTCCAATTAGAAATTAAAATAATAATTCCAACAGCTTAATCATTTTACCTGATATTTAATATTTTTAATGGCATATGTCTCCTGACATTTACATACATTTTCAGATTGTATTATATTCATTTAGAGCCGATTTAGGAAAGGTCAATTAAATATTTGATTGGGATTAAATTTTGAATGCAGCATTAAACCATGTGACCTATGCTATGCCAATCAGATGTCTCTAAACGCCTCATCAAATGCGTGATTAACTTAATCTCAATTAAAATATTCTATAAAGTGGCCCTTATTCTCGTACATATTTCTGTAATTTCGGGTTCTTCGATTGAAATTATTCTTATGTTATTATTTGTTGTTGTTTTTTTTTTTTTCTTATTTTCTAGTGTAAAACAAATAGATCGACCATCTGCGTATTAAATAGGTACTCATTTCGATATTCTTTATACAAAAAAGTCAGATATGTGCATCAGTTTTGTCGCTCTGAGTATTGATTATTATTATTATTAGCTCAGTGGCAAATCTGAAAAACAGAATTTATTTTCTTACTAAACTTAAAATTGACAATCTAATATAATAACTCTGGTTGATATAGCAGATATATTTTTATTTTAAACTGATTTGGCAAGAATTCTGCAAGGAGTATTAAAGAAGTAAGACGATTAATCTAGAATTTTCCAATAACGTTCAAAAAAATCACAACATGATTAAAATTAAATTCGGATTTTTGCAAGACGACACAAACTACATTTTACTGTAGAAAACACCTCAAAAATTGTTACAATTGTTCTAGAAAACGTGTAATAAACAAGCAGTCATCCAACTCTAAAATGCCCGTAGCTAAATTATATAAAGCTGAATAACATTATTTAAATGCAAAGCATTTTTTATTACTGTAAACGTAGTTTTTTATAGTAGGAATGTTCATTTATTTTACTATAGCGTATATGTATTAGATGGGCACATTTTGCACATTAATATTCATCATCCTTAATACATTAAAACCACTAAATTGATTATACTTTTTTAAAAATGTGTCACTTGTGTTATTTAAAACGACCTAAATGTCATTTTTAAACTTGAAACACATTAATTAGAGATGGCATTACCGAGACTAAAGAAATTCAACGGTTTTTAAAATTCAACTTAAAAAGTTAAAAAATAGCAGCAACGTTCCAAATATTAGGTATTATCCGTTTCAGATTTTGTTTAACATCACACATTGTTTCGTTTATTAGTTAAGATAGTAATTTACGATAACAACTAAGTTAAAGGACATGCGAAAATGTAGTCAAAGTGTGATAAACTTAACTGCCTTCACACGCACGGCACAAATTTTTTTAAGTCAAAGAAGTTTTATTATTTTTTTTGAGATGACTTTTATAGACTAGTGTACGCACTTTTATGCACTTGGTCGTCAAAAATACCCTACAGAATTAGATAAAAAAAAAATAATTTCTAGGTAGTATTTTTTTTTTAGAGACAGAAATATTATAAGCAGATAATCTTTGTCTGGTCGTTCGAATATTGAGTAGAGCGCATCACTTCCGCCGCCCAGTTTCCTTACCATAACGAAACTGAAATCAACAGTAAGTATTTCTTTTTTTACTAATAAAATCTGATGTATCTATTATTAGAGGAAAGAACATTTCAAAACCACTAAGTGCTCGTTTCATATTATATTAAAAAAAATCACATCCACGTTAAAGACAGCTTGTTTAAAAGACGTAACTTAATTGATTAATCTAGTCACTGTTAATTTAAATGTCAGTTATTTAACTTGATTAGTTTACATAATTTTGCTGTATTTATGTCAGCATTATGTTGACGTTCTTCACAACATCTTGCAATTTTTTTAATCGAATCTGAAACAAATCTATTTTGAAGAAAAAAAAGTCAAAATTTGCACCATGGAGTGAAATATGTAACTCCAAAACTCAGTAGATAAACTTATATTTAAAATTTATTTAAAAATAAGTTATTAATTTTGTAATTTTCTGATCGCATACTTTTATTGTTTATAATTGATTGTGCTGTTAATTTGGCTCTTTTCTGTTACAGAAAAAAATGTGTTTTCGCTAGTTGTTAATTGTAATATTTTGACAACTCCGTTATTTTTTTATTTTTTTTAACACATTTTTAAGAAAAAATTATTTTTAAATATGCGCTAAAGCTACAGGTAATATATTTTATAAGATGTTTATCTACTTACATTAAAATGAGTACCTACAGTTTGGCTTAAAACAAATGGTAACTTATATTTCTTCAAACCATTTTTTTATAATTAAATATTTCAGATGTCCTATTATGAAAAATAAGATCGTCCGTCGCAATAAATGAAACAATATTGTGGTGACAAATAAATATTAACGTTCTTATTTTTCCGGTATTCATTTTTATCTACGACTCAAAAAACTTGGCACATACAGAAGATAACATCCTCGTTTTCAAGCAAAAAAACACATGCTATTATGAGAGTAAACAAAAGTGATATTAATTGTACTGCGCCAGTTTCATCTTTTTTTAACACAACAGAAGTTTTTCATTGTTAAAGATTATGTTTTGTTAAAACAATATAGCTTAAAAACTTTACAGACACTTTTTTACCAAAAAATCGTTCACATTATTCTAGTTTTCTTGTTCGTTTTCCACAGGAAGTTAATATAAAGTCTGAGACACACAAAGTCATCACTTGAAATCCGTCGGTTCTTTCATAGCCTTTCACAATGCCTGCACAAGTGCACCTTTTCACCTCGAAATCTACAGAAATGCAAACGTTGCTAGCCCCTTTGAATCGCAACAATTTCGCATAACCCGCGTATATCAAAGCCTTCCCGGTGAAAGCATCTTTGTACGTTTAACCGGCGCATTAACAGAACCTCTTGCTTTGATCTGGCAAGTCTTTCATCTCAGCCTTCGTTAAATATAAAAATGTATTTTTAATTGCGAGCCGCCTCAATGCCACTCTCAACCCTCGATCTGCCCTCACCCCTCAACATAATTGCGACATGTGACCCTTACCTTTTCGGCAAATTACTGAACATGTCACAAAAAAACACTCGCGAACTAAAGCTAAGCCCACACCAACTCGCGCTCGATTTGCTTCGTCTAATTTGGTCACGTGCTCAAACTGCATACGATGAGATCCACTGTGCTTTACCATGCGGAGCGAAGCAAAAGACTGGCTTCAGCATCACGTCACTCGTTCAAGGATGACTTGATCTGCGTACGGGGCGTGGCGGCGCTGGCCCCGCCCCGCGGAGTGGGGACCGCGGCAGATCTTCACGATTCTTCCGCGATTTCTTCGATATCGCCCGGAAACGATCGCTATCGATCGGAAATCGCGATTGTTTCGGCGTGGCGATGAGGCCGAAGTGAGGTTAAGTCAGGTTAGCGCCGTTATCGAGGTGTTGCTTCGAGGAAAGAGGCGTTATCAGCGATTCGGTGCGCTCGAGTGGCCCGCTGATCGCGCCTTTTGATTGGCGGAAGAACAGGCGCCATTGTTTCCGGATTGGGGCGCGGCGGCGCATTTCAAAGCGACGCTCGCCCGCAGCGGCGTCGGAGGAACATTAGCGTCTCGACGTCGACAACTTGACGACGCTTCGAGCGATTCTGCAAAGAACAAGTTCTGTTGTTCATTAAGTTTTTGGCCCCGGGTGTGTGCGACAAGGCTGAGATGCCGACAGGTGAGATTTGTTCCAAGATTTCAAAGCTTTTAGTTAATTAGATTTGGTTTACATGAAGGGACCACGTGCATGGCTTTAATTGAGCTTGAATGTATTTGTGGTGGGGTACATGTTTGTTTTGAGTGAGATAATTTTAGACTTAAGATGATAGGATGCTAATTTTTTTATTCAACGACTACCTACTACATTATTGTTGAGGGTAATGCGTTTATCTTAATTTAATATGTATTAATGTGATGTTTTTTTTATGTGTCCCTTGATGTTAACTTAAGCGATTTGTGTTACGTCCTGATTTATATTCTATTTATGGTGTATTTTAAGTGAAACAAAAGAATCATCTCATTATGTTGGTATGTTGATTAAATTTAACTTCCGCTTTTGACAAGTACATCAGATGGTTTTTCATTTTTATGTAGGTACACGTCCAATCTTGGAAACTAAAAAATATATTTAAATAAAACTTATCAAACAATGCTCATTTTTAAATAAACTAAAAATAAAACAGTAGCTTCCTAAATATAGTGAAACACACTGTATATATACGTAGCTATCATTAAGAATATTATATCTCTAAACTAATTATTATTGTTGAAGGAAGTTATAACATGTGTTCGTTCACATTACCCCATCAACTTTGTTCTTTTTTTTGATCCTGGAACAAAATTTTTAATTATTTATTTATTGTACCTACTCAGAAGACAGTGGTAAGTATTTCCAAAAAGCAAATCGAAATGTTTAATTTTGATTTTTTTCTTATAAAGTACCTAATATTTGCCTTAAAAGTGGCAATTGTAACACCAGACTAACGACTATAAACAAATTAGGTATACACAGTGCTTACATTAATTTGTTGTTTTTGTTCTCTCTAGCCTGAAAGTGATCAGTGATCACTCACTGTGCATGTTGTGCTAAAAAATTAAAGTACCTATTTCAAAACTTAGAACCGATTAAACAAAATGCAATTACATATTTGATTAGGTACTGTTAAATTTTTAACGTAGTATTAAACTACCACGTGACCTATTCTTCGCCAATCAGATATCTCTAAACGCCTCGTCAAAGGCGCAACTTACTGAACGTATCCAAGTTGCGCCCGCTACCTGAGTTTTCGAGTTCAAAAAGTCCGAATTGCCCACATTTTACTGTAGGTGAATGTTCCGAGTTGCGCCCGCTACCTGGAAATATTATCACACCTACCCCGTTTTATTCTCCATGAATTAGGTAAAATTTCGTGGGAGGTTTTTTTCATAATCTCTAAGTACCTATGGCGTTTTTCTTCATTAAAGAAAACCAAATTTTTATATAAAGACAAATTTCTTTAATATTTCGAAAAGGTAAACCTATTAAGATGACAAGAACTAAATGAGTTATTAACTATATTTCGCGTGGAACGATTTGCAAGCATTTGTTGTTGCTCCTCAAAATTTTTCACTGTGGATCCACATGATACGGTAAACATTGTTTACCGAAAATACCTGTACTATCGACTGATATTTTTTTAAACAAAAATATAGCAGCCACATTCCGTTATAAAAATCATAATAATCAAACTAAGTAACAAATTCGTGAATCTTTTTTTATGGTTATTAATAAGAATTACTGGACATTATTAAGTATTATATTTTAAACGTTGGTTTATTTTTCAAGACAGCTGCCGTCCGCAATGAACAGTGTTTGTATAATAAAACATATATTCTGAAGCGTTAATAACCTTTATAGACAGATTTTTTTACATAATTAATAACTGTCTTAGGTATATGTAATAACTGTACTAAAAAAGTAACATTTCCATGTTAATTTTACCGATTAAAATCAAAATTTTGTCACAATCGCTCAATCTATATCTTGTAGAACAAAAGATATTATATTGCAAAAAATCGTTAAAGATTTCTTTGACTTTTGAGATCCTTAATTGAGCAAAACGTTATAACGAAACTTTGCTTCATTAAAATAATATTTGGTAAAACTGAAAGTGCTTTTTAAAATACTTTTCTTCGTATTCTTTTAGTTATTTTCACAGAACTTCCCCCGCCTTTGAAACACAACAAATGCTACATGCGTCTCCACATACATCTGCAATAAAGATACTATGAATAAAATAAACTGCGATATTACATGTTATTGCCTGCATTGAGACAACTTGCCGGTTTGTCGATACAATTGTTAAACTACATATTAATTTACGAAATGTACAGCGGCAGTACCTATATCTAATAATAAAACTGGAAATTTTCAAAAAACATAAATAACAGCACCTATTTCAAAAGTCTATGGTAAAATACTATCTGCATATGTACAAAACTACAAAACAAAGTTTATTAAGTATTAATATTAAATTATTGTTCAATATCGTTACATTTTTAAATTGTATGTTGTTTTTCAATAAAATAATGTTTCATAATTATTTTTCGGCTTCATCTGATTTGTAGGCCTCGGCTACGCCTCGCCCTCAAACTTAAGATCGGCCGAAAAATTTCTCTTTACAGACTTGGTACATAAATAACTATTTCGGCCGATCTGAAGTTTACAAATCAGATGAGGCCAAAAAAAATCTTTTTGACAGAGGTCCCCACACTTTTTTAGGCGACTATACAGAAAGATACTTGGTTATTTAAATAGTTTTGAGGTTAAAAAAATTGATACCGTCATATTTCAGAACGATATTCCCTAAAGGTGGACTTCAAATATCAGAAAGACTCTGTTTGCCAGCCCTTTCGGCTTTTTTATTTACAAAAATGTTGGATAAAACACATACCTACCTATCCAAGGACGCAAAAGTAAGTTTTTGACATTTGTTGAGTACAAAAAAGTGACAAGTGGATCCAAAAAGAATACATAAACAAGACGTAAAACATCTAGATTTTAATGCTCCCCTAAAAAAACTTTTTTTTTTTCGGTTGAGATATACCTAGGTAGTCATGCCAGAAACTATTTTTTTTGCATTTTTATGTATCTAAGTGATTTAAGTGATTTTTTGTAAAAAAAATATCTTCAGTGTCATTAAAATCTGTTCAACATTATTGCAAACACTATTTATTAACATAGCAAAGGGCTTCACCAACTTTATTTTTTCGAGAAATACTTACATAGTACGGTATATAAAAAAAAATGTGAAAGTATAGTTCCGAAATGAAATATTTAAGCATATAAGCACGTGTGTAATTTTTATTTTTGCCAAAAACATTTTTGTGTACAAACAAGTTTTTGAAATTATTCAAGCATTCTTCTAGATTTGTTATTTTTTTGTTACAAAAAGAAAACTTCTAAAAGTTCCATTGTGAAGTTCTATAGGTATATGCGAACAGGGTATGTTTCTATACGTACTACTTTATATACATCTAATCCAGTTTTTAAACGAAAAATTACATTTAAATCGCTACGTTTCATACCCGGAATGATACTTTAACCAACATATCCGAAAATACGATTCGAAAGATCAAAAAACTTTTGAAAATGACTTACATAATAACTGTAATTTAACAATAAAGTACGTGTGCAAAATTCATTATATTGAGTTACTAACGACAGGTAAGTTTAGGTAAAAAAAAAATTATCATAAAAAGTTTTATTGCGAAAACACATATTGACATAAAAATGTTATTTTTTTTATCGCTGTACAAAAATAACAATTTTGTTTGTTGATATTAAAATTTATAAAAGATTTTGCGTTCAGAAGAATTTTATAAAATATAATAATAATAATAGAACACCTTCATAACTTTTATTGCTTCTACAGTTACATATATATAAATAATAAATAATACCTAAATTATAAACATAAATTACAACAGCGCTCTTAGCCTTAACATGTTTAATATAAAACTCTATAGGTATTCGTTTAAGATTACATAATTTGCTGTTGACAAATTGTTTACAACATTATTGTGATCATTATCTACGGGAGAAAAACTCTATAAATTTTATATACCTATTGAATATTTGTATAAATTTTAAACCTAATGATATTAGGTATATTGTGTCTGAAATACCTAACAAACGAATGCAAAATTTAAAATGTCTACAACAAATTGTCTTTCTTTGATGACCAACGAGGAAACCCAAAAAACGTTAAACAGTTCCTTCGCTAGAGGCTAATTTGGAAATTCATTTCCTACTCCTGAATTACTCGCGTGCAGGGCCGAATTAAGGAGCCCCCAGAGCCTGTAAGCGGTGTGAACTTCCGAGTGGCCCGGACTTCCACCGTTTCGAGAAACCTGTTATTATAAGTATTTAGAACAAAGAGAGCCCCAATTACATAAAAGAAATGCCTGAAGCATTGTTGACACTTATTTTTAAACTTTTTCCTTTCTTGTTATTTATTATCGGTGTGAAGAACATATCGAACTATCGGCATGATATATAGGTAACTTCGAATGACATTCTGACATGTGACATTCTGTTTATAATTCAAATTTACATTTAACGTTAAATAATAAACACATTAAAAAAATTGAATTGTGAGATATTTCGTTGTGTGGAAAATTTTTGTTTTTGTTTTTTTTTTCTTAAAAGCACCCATCTGTGGCCAAAATTGATTTTTGAAGATAATAACTGATCTACGAGGGGATATTGATAAATAACCGACAAATGAGGTTTACCATACACAATAATAAAGAGTTGTTTTGTGATAAAAAGATCAGAATGTTACACAATGAATTTTTAAAGGAAACATGTTTGATAAAAATCTCAGTTTGGATAAAACTGGGTATCGAACAGTGATTAGGTAGATTCTTGTTTTTAAAAGGGTTGCCCGACAAAAAAATCTATCCGGATTGTCGAATTTGAGAAAGAAAAATCAACATCAGAAATGAGCACCGTCTTAAAAGACTTTTTTTGCTTTAACTATTGAAAAAAATTATATTGGACATGACATGTTTTTGGAAATTTGACGAATTGGGCTGAAACGTGCTAATGTAGCTAATATTTTAAATGAACATCATGTTTGGGTTTGAACAAATTATTTGCCCAATGGTTTCTTATGACTAATGAAATGCTAATCAAAAACGACTCAAATGAAACAAGGATCTGTCATTGGAAACAAAAAAATGACCAAAAGTATTAAAAGACCATGAATTCCGTATCCAAAAATGGACAGGAAAAGTCTTCGCGCACTTTTTTTGCAACAAGAACGAAATAATTATACTGTACTGCTGAGAATAGGGTGCTGATGCGAAAATCTTATTCTACATTATTGACTATATTTTAAGAAAAAACACAGAAACTCCATAGAAAAATTTTCAAAAATGTGCTTTATTCGCAGGACAATGCTTCCTTTCACAAATCTTATTTTTGGTTACCTTACAGAAAATTGATAAAATAGGTTTTGAATTGATTGTCCAAACAAATGTTTGCGAAATTTAGTTCATCAGATGATTGTATATTTTTAAGGCTTGCAACTAATTTTGTGAGCGTTATGCTAAGTGTACCTAGTCAAAAAGTTATTAAAATGAATGTATAATTAAATAAAAAATATTTCACAACATTTTTAATATAAACCTCCAACCACAATGATTATTTCGTACTTCAGAATCACAAAATTTGAAATTATTCTAAAGCTAATTCGTTTAAAAATGTTAAAGCTAATATGATTGTTACAAGCTGTAAGAATGTATGTAGTCATTATATGTGCAAAATTTTGAAGAATATTATAATAAATGAAAATGATTCAGAAAACAGCTGAAAAATACAACATATTTTTTTTGAAAAAAAAATCCGTAAATAAAAAAAATGATAAAATGTCAGTAGGAATAATGTTTAAATTTTTGTTCTTTTGTAGGTCGTCATTTACGATATTCTCAGATAATATATAGTTAATACAAACTTTTGTTGCACAAAAAGAATAGAGATATTTAATACTATACTAATATAAATGGTAACAGTGAGAATTGAAGAATATAATTTTTTTATTTATTAGATTTACCTATACATAAAATTTTATACAAATATTTGTCTTTGTTACACTACGCTAGAAAAAAAGAATTAAATTTAGTTATGGTTACAAAACTGCAGCTGACAATATTGCTTTTTGATATTATGATGTTTTGTGGTTTAAATTAATTACTTATTCGCCGTAAATATTCACGCCCGGTTGTTTCACACCTGTGGTGACCTTTTTTCAGTCGATATCATTCAATGTTTCATTATATGGTTAATTCATCTCAAAAAATTCAATACAAAGAGTAAATTGGGCAGCTATATGTTAAAAAAGGCATCCACTGGCAAATAAAATATCCGATAAAGTAGATATGTCAACTTAATTATTATTGAAGTTAGATGTTTAATTAATTTTGGGTTTGATTTTCCCTGTATTGACTTTGAGTTAAACATACTTTAGTATGTATGTATTAATTTACTCATATGTATGTTATCTTAAAATAGCCCTATTGCTATATGCACATATGTAATTCTATTTTTCTTTCGTTCCAGGATTATCGTAAATTTCCAGATGGAGCTTCTACACGACACAAAAGCCTCTTCATGTCTCTGTCCCCATCATCATCATTAAATACATATCAAAGCACTTTCTTGTTACAGTATTTGCCATTCCTTTTTTCCTGTCCCCGCCGTGGGCCAAATCCGACGACATCCCAACTGTCCAAAAGTAGACACGAGACAAGAGACCACCCCAGTCATGAAACGTCTTTTTTCTCGAAACTGCAACAAACCACCTTTTATATTTCTGTGTACAACAAATTTCAAGTAGACATGTGAAACAAGATCCAGTTGACCGTACTAAGCCGCTTATGATGGTTTCAATTATCCCAATTAATTAACCCGATCAATCTCAAGATACGTTATTATCGTCCGTCCACCTTGTCTCATATTGAGTGGATGCAGATCAGGTGAACGGTCTGATTAATAAGTCTGGTCTATTATTGGACTGCGGCGAGGTTATTGATACGTTTATTTGTAGTTATAATAATCGACGTTGAGTGTGGGCTAAAGTTTATCGTGTTATTAGTTGCGTAATCAAGAATTAGGCTCGTACGAAGGGCGACACCCCTACGTAAGGCTCCCTACTATTTACATTATTTGTAACGATTCAATTTCTATTGCTTTGATGAATGAGGGTGTTTTTATCCTGGTTGTAGGCTGTTGAGGGATCTAAATACAGTTATAATAATTGTATTAATTTATTACTGCGAGAAATTCTGCTCACGGATATATCATACCCTATATAAAATACCAAAAAAATAATACGCGGTGCCTTTGAAGTTTGAGAAATTCAATAGCAGAATAAAAATTTTGTTTATACAAGGAACAAAAGAAGAGAATGTTTCGTATTGTGTTTTCCGAGGTATGAGGATGCATCGTATTTTAAACAACTGACGGAACTACATACATACATAAAGTTGAAGCGAAACCTAATCCTCAAACAGAAAAAAGTAAATTTGAATAAATATATAATACCTATATAAAGTATTTCGTTAAAGAATGACAAATATTTACTACTTTTTGTAGTTTGTTTCGTAAAAATAGGCTTTTAATGAAAAATAAAGACAAAAGTCATGTCACAAAGTTTTGCATATGACTTTTCACTATCATCGACATATGGCAATAAAATCCACTAAACGTCAACATTTTATTAAATTTACTTTAGCAAAAGACAAATCGTGAAAATTATTACGTGACTGGAGCATTGTGGAAATGTCACTATTTGAAATCTTATCCAAATACATTTTAATTTAGTGTATGTTTTACGTCATCGTTCTATAAAAAAATGTTAGAGAAGTAAATTTTTAATATTAAAAAATAAACAAAAGTTAATAGTATAAGATAAAAATTGTTTTCTTACTATAATTAAAACAGTGTCTAGTGAAATATTTCATTTGACATAAAGCACCACTAAAAGGTAAGTAGATAGTTTTAATTAAGAGTAAAATTTTTTAACCAATTAGGTACCATCAGAAAAACAAATTGCTCTAGACTGATTTTTTCGTCTAAAAATTAAGATTTATCTGACGAATCCTTGAAGTATTAGTAGCAAACAGTAATTTTGAAAAGGAACGAATAAAATTTTCCTAGCATGGATTGCTTTCATAGTTTTCATGAATAAATTTAAATATATTGTATGTATTGTTTTACGCTGTCTACCGAAATCATAACTTGGTAAGGGCTTTTTGTTAACTTAACCTTTTTGAGTCGATTCGTTGGTAAGAAAACTATTCAGGTTGAATTTGGAATTGAATCCGTATGTTTTCTCTATGTTTAACGCTACGTCTAAAGCTACGTCATAGAAAAGTTTTCAACAAAATTAGTTTTGATTGAAATTAATCTTATAAACCTAAAATTTGAAATAAAGACCACAAAAGGTAAAAACTAAGATAATTATAAACAGATTTTTAAATTTTACGTCAGTGAATCAATCTCTAACGTCCCTTCTAACTTTACTTTTTTTTGTCTTCTTCCTTGTTGTTAATTCTTGGAGAAATGATCTTTACATTAAAAACAGTTCTTTTCAGAACTTTATTTGCGTATTAGTGCATGCACTAAACACAAAACGTTCATGAATAAGTAATATTTTCGAAATGCACAAAAGGTAGACGGTGTGTGGGAATACTCGATTCAAGCGGCTTGAAATGAATTCCAAGAAGAATTTCCCAACAACTTCGTCGACTACACTCATTTTTGCAACACCTTTATAAAGTAATTTTAAAGCCCAGACTTCATATTAAGTTGTCAGTTTGTTCCTGATTTTTTTTTTTGCAAAGACGTAAGAGTTTTAAATATTGAATATCAAACTGAAATTTTCAAAGTAGAAAATCTTCCTGTTACTGATACAGTGTCGTTTAGGGTATGTTATTTCCATGTGTAACTTCACAGGACGATAAAATTTTAATACAGAAGTACAAAGGTTACGATTACACACTTTTGTAATTATGTTGAATTACTTCTTTTTTTGCTGATTATGTCCTTTTACCAAAGCTAAAATTTTCCTTTCAGTTCTTCCAAAATACAGTTGACAGATATATCGTGCTAACATTTTTTTTCTTAAATTATTATCTACCCACATATTTATTTTATTGATTCCCAAAGATTTTCCGACTGTTACATATTAATATAGGGCAGACTTTCCGCATCACAAAAAAGTCTTCAAATTAATTTTATCCATAAAATTTTCTCTAAATTTCAAGTCCAATATCTGCATTATAAAAGTTGACTAAAAAATTATTATCGGACCGGGTGATTTTTACTTTCCGAATTTGCACCTTCATATTTTCTCGATGGGTCACCTCTGGAGTACGAAAAAAATGGTCTCCAGTTTCCATCTGTCTGTCTATCTGTCTGTGTCTGTATCCATTTTTATTAGACACGTAATCTCTAAAACTACAGGCCCCATTTGTTGCCAAATTTTGTATCTAGGTATATTAAGAATATCATGCAGATGGTTAAACACTAACTAAAATTTGGTTAATCATCCCCACCGCGAATGGAATAACTTCAGCTCCAAAATTTATAGTAGTAAGTTTTTTAAATTTTATCGTGTCGAATTGTAACACTAAACATTCAAAATTTTTCAAAAATTTTCAAAACTGCATAACAATATTTTACAGTTTAACTTTGAAACTGCAACACCGAGTGCTCTGAAATCTTGTAAATATTTTAAGGTTATCATAATCATGGTAAATCGTTAAGCAAAATTTATTCGTTGAAAGAGTCAATTTATATATTTTATAGATTAAATCAGGAACTACACAACCGAATGCTTTGAAATCTTGTAGATGTTTTAAACTTGTCGTAAGCATGGTAAATTTTTAATCAGATTATATATGTTTAAGTCCCTCAAAAAACTGATGACATCATCGCAAAATTTTGCCAAATAAATCCTATCCAAAATGTGAAAATTATGATGAGTTCATATTTGTGATTTATCACTGCATTATAAGTTTTTAAATTTCTAATACAGGGTGATTCATAAAAATTAATGAATGAGTCAATTTATTTTATTGATTAAATCGGGAAGGGCTCACTCACTTTTCCCGAAAATTTAAGAATGCAATACTGTTATTAGTACTATACTGCACCTATCTAAAGTGATATACTTGTCATTGCAAAAATATTAGTGACGTCGTCACAAAATTTTATTAAGGAAAAACTCATTTGAAACGTACGTGCAGCATGCTTCTTTACATTTACTTTAGCGCTACATACATATCCTTATTTTAACTTTATCGGGGTTGTCATAAAAAAAAATAAAATTCGTATAATTAAATTTTATAATTTTTCGAAAAAGCTGGATTTCTTATATTGTATTTGTGATCTAGTGACCCATGAATTTGTTGACAGAACAAATTCCGCCGAAAAATATATAAACTGCGCGTCAAAAGTTAGAGATATCATAATTTAATTTAATTTAAACCTACTCAATTGTTTGGAAAATTATAAAAAACTAATAATAAACATGTCTTTCATCAATATCCTTAACTTTTGACACGTAGTTTATTAATTCGACAAATTTTAAAAAATATAGGTAGTGTAAAATTTAAAAATTCACGTAATTCTTTCTTACAAATGTGCACTATTGTGATGAATTCGCCATTTCACATATCAAACTTGAATATGGATTGTCTGTAAGTTTAAGCACTTAGGGAGCTAGATTATGTTATATCAACAAGAATTAAACCCTCGTTAAAATGATTTATCTATGAAAAGTAACATATATATTTAATCCAATCTACAATAATTGATAGAAGTGTTAGTCCCCAGCTTCGTACACAATTTGACTCAACAATTTATATTCTTAAATACTCGAATAAGACCTTACCGCGAAACTCTTTCACATTCTTGTATGATTCTTCCTTTTAGAACTTCATTTGTATCCACTGATTGTTTAAAAACAGTATTTTTCAAAGTCGGAAACATGAAATAATGTAAAAGTGTCAAATTAGAGGTGATTGAGGTGGGTAGATATGGTTTGCGCGGAAGCTAATTAAACGCTCATCATAAAACTCCCTTAGAAAATTCAAACTTGTTTGCGCCGTTGCACCATCATGCTGAAAATATTCATTCTGCAATAATTCTTCAAGATCAAGCTGATACAAACATTCCCCCAGTATGTTCTGATATCTCTGAATTCTCAAAGAAAACGGACCCAAATAGTCGTTTTCAAGAAATGATAGGTAGGTACACCAAACTCTATTTGTTGTGGGTGTAATAGCGTTTACATACCCTGAACGATGAAACGAGGCTTCATTGTTCATTTTTTGATTAAACCAGTCAGAATAAATCATTTTGTTTTCATAATCAGGTGATTTAAGTTTTTGAAACACCTGCATTTTGTCAGATCATTTTTAACAATTTTCTGATAAGTTGAATATAACAAGTCATTGCCACGAAAGCTTTCTTAAAGAGGCATGGGAGTTCGTTTTGTTAATATGCGACTTCCTGATTTCCTCTTAGTGGTACCACTCTCGTGAAATACCTGTTTAGCAAAACTAAGTGTTCTTAAAAAATTAGCTTCAAGAACAGCAACACCGGGGAATTTTTCACGAAATTTCTGAAAACAGGGTCGAGCTTCATATATCATTCACCATTTAGTTACTGGCCGCAAGTGATATTCAAGCATGAATTAATTATGATCTTCAGAGAACATTTTTCTAGAGATAAAAATTCTGCTTCTAGGCCAAAATACACTCATTTAGTTTTGATTCACCGTCAAATAAAGATATAGCGTAAAATAGACTGATTTTGTCCAAAACAGGAAAAATAATGCTTACTTTACTGACATTTTAGTAAAAATGTTTTGCAATTTTAAATTTTCTAAAACTTTCAACTTCAATTTCATTTATACAAATGGATTTTTTTTCCAACAACGCTTAAACTTACAATAGTAACATGTATGTAAAAAAGAATAATAATAATACACTTTCGTAGATTTTTTGTCTGTTGGTCATAAACATATGTATACAAAAGTAAGCACAAGTTTAAAGGAAGTACGTAAATATTTTATTTATTTTTTCAAAACAAAGTTTAGGTACAATTTTCTGTAAAGATAAATTAACCTACTAGGTATAATTATTGCAGTCGGGGTGTACTAATTCATATGTACAATTTTAATGAAACAAATAACAAATTGTTTTTCTGTTAATAACCACAAAATGTTGTTGAACTGCTCCTATCCTGAATTCCCTATTATATCAGTGAACCGTCACCACCGCCCTGGTCTTCATAAAAAATTATATCCAAGATAAACATCGAAAAAACGGGACCGATGGCTTATGAACTCAATAATCGTCGGTCTCTTTGAGCCTTAGAAATATCGTGTAGAAGGATGAAACTTTACTGAGCTAAAGAAAGGACGAGGATTTTACATTATAAGGATTACATGGAACACAGGTATCGAGCCGCGCCAATATTGCGGCTTCAGGATTTAAAAAGATTGCCGAAGCTTATCTGGGACTTATAGGAGCACTTATATCCCTCTAGCTCAGATAGTTGTCGGGCTTGTTTGTTATTTTCTGTACGCACAATACCGCATGGGAATCTCTCCCACAATCGCCACCTCAATTAATGAAAATGGGTATAACTCGGTCGCCACCCCTGCGTCTTCTTTCATCCCCAAGGACACGCAAATTTTCCCCACAAGTGTCTGTTTCCTGTTTGCGGGTTGATAATTCGCCGGTCAGCGGAGATACTTGAGTCTTTTGCTTACCCTAATTTGCTGCCGTCTGCCAACTGATGTTTTGATATTTGAATGGCCATTGAATGTCGTCCGGAAGGATGAGGAATGACGGAAACAGTCCAATTATGATGTTAAGTCTTTATTTATTTTCATGTTTGTACACTGTTTTCTACTAAAATCTTACAAAATACCTATTGTTTCGTTGATAAACGGTATACACTTGTAAAATATGAAATGTAATGTATCTAGCGCATTTTCCACATAAGAACAATTCAGTACGATTTTTAAAATTAAATCCTCCGTAACTACAGTCACAATTAAAATTTTGAAGATTTTTTAAAAACTATCCAGTTGCAGTCAGTATTGTACATTGCTAACATAATCGGAGTTGATAACTACATCACTGAAAAATGAAACATTAGCGAAGCTGAGCTTCGAAAAAAATTCGAACGAAGGAGTTAAGAAATTTTTCTATACAGTGTGATTTCAAAATGTCTGCAATAATAAAAATGGGGAATACCTCAGAATAAGATTTACTGCACTGTGTAAAGTTCACGTTCCTAAGTGGTAGCAATATCTAGAAAAAATAATTTGAAATTAAATAAATTGTTATACAAATAGGCCACCGGTAGTGTTTCTTGACCTACCATAACTACTATTAAATGAATGGCACAGAACGACTAGGATTGAGAATAATAAAAGCGGCACACTGATATGAAATGTGCAAAAACACGATAAGGGCCAGTCATATATCAGTTGGTTGCCGTCGTGTGTTCGGTTCACGTCTTTGACAATGGTGAATTCTTCCAAATCGAAGCGTGTCGACATGGTAATGGTTTATGGTGTGGCTGATGGAAACGCCACGTTGACCCTCGAATTGTGGGTCGAATGCTTTTTAAATCGCGATGTTTCGCGTGTGCGAACATTTACATCAGTGGTACATCATCTCCGAGATTATGGCACCTTCAAGCCTCAAACTCACAATCGTGGCCGTGATAGGACCGAAAGAATACTGCAAGGTGAAGAACAAATTTGGAAAGCGTCGAAGAAGAGCCCAATATACACACTCGCCGACTTCCCCATGAAGTTGGAGTTTCACAATTTGTAGTGCATCGTACATTAAAAGAACAAGGCCTACATCGATACCACGCCCAAAAAGTGCAAGCTTTGGAGACTGCTCATTTGCCACCTTGTGTAATTTATTGCAATAGTTGTTACAGCAATGTCATAAACGCCCTAGCTTTTTAAATTGCATTCTGTTTATGAATGAAGCAGCATTCACACGCAATGCTGTTTTCACAGCTACAACAGTCACATTTGGTCCGATCAAAATCCACACTCTCGTCAAGAAGTACGATTTCAGCGACGATTTTCCATAAATGTGTAGGCCGGGATCGTAAATGATCGCTTAGTTGGACCTTTTATTTTACCGAACAGACTAAACGCGGCACAGTACCTCGAGTTTTTAACAATGTATTGGAGAAGCAGATGGATGTGGAAGTGCGTCTAAGTGAACGACTTTTTTCATGTAGTACTTGCATGTTGGAGCACCATCACATTTTGCTAGGCAATTAACTGATTGGTTAAATCATCATTTTCCTAACCATGGGTCGGTAGAAACGGCCCAGTAGCTTGGCCTCCGCGTTCACCCGATCTCAATCCGCGTAATTTTTCTCTGTGGGGTTGAATGAAACTGTTAGTTTATTGAAATCAACAGTGTCCAGAAATTATCAAAGAGCTTCAACAACGAATGGAAGCGCTAATAATATCTTTCGCATTGACCTTTAACGATGAATGAATGCATGAATGAACGAATGATAACCAACAAAAAATCGGTTTTACTTTTTTACGTTTTATTCGAACGTTTTCTCACTTTTGTTGTTATTTGAAAGGTAAATCAGTGGCTTCGCATCTGGGGGTGGTTCATGGGGGTTGTGCCTCTTTCGACTTCTAATTGCATATATTTCGAAATCACCCTGTATATACATATTTGTAGTAAAATTTTTTGATTGTTAGTCCTTGCTGACCAAGACCAAGCTGAGCAAACCAGTATTTCTGAAATTAGTAGAGTCTGTGTCTATCTTGTCAATGGAGTAATCAATATAACTTTCGGCCATTGTCTTTATTTGAAGCGAATCCGTACCGGTGTCAGCGAACATTGTCGCCGTAGTCCCGTGGAAACAATGGTCTGAAAATAAATTAGGATTATAAAAAAAATAAGTGAGCAATCATCTGAGGCATGCAATCAAATGTGTTTAAACCAGTGGCTTGATTGTGACATTTGCCATTTTTTGCTAATTTTTGTAAGTCCACCTCATCATTACTGATCTTTGTAAAAGTTCGTGTTGTATTAAGTTTTGCTATTGAAAATTTTGACAGTTACAACCGACTCTTTTTTTTCAATATTTTTTGCTCCTTCTTCCACTATTTTAGGAATATAGGAGTGTGTCATCAATCAAAATTTTACTTAATAAATAATATAGAGGTTCATTTCCACTAAAAAAAACAAATACCTTTCCAATTATTTATTTCGGGTAATCATAATGATGAGTAGAGGTCTAACTTATATGATTTAGGTTTAAGTAGTTTAATTTTTGTAAACATGCCCTAAATATTTACATGTACAAAAATAATCATAAATCCATACTTTATTATTAATAATACAGATGTAGGTACATTTCGGAGACATATTAAACCTATAATATCGATAAGGTAAACAAATAGCTGCAGTAATATTAGTTCACTTTCCACATCAAATTAGTTTGAGGATCCATTGATAATTTGATTTTAACGTATACCTAAACACAGACAGACAGCGTTCAACCAAGTTCAAACGGAAAAAGATTATCAGTCAGTTTTTGTTTAATTTTTAGTAAATTTTGCTCAAACTTTTTTTTTCAAAATTTAAAAATAAAATTTTTCAAGTCGTTTAAACACCAAGAAAATCTTACATCTCCTTCAAACTTTGATTTCTCTAAGGATGTTAACACTCTTTTCAATCTCTAACTTAAAAATACTGAACCAACTTCGAATCATCAAGTTTTCGACACTTTATTTCCCTTACGAGTAGAACGGATGTTACATGGAATTTGTAAGAAAAAAATTGGTCGACAGGACTTCCCTAACCCCTTTAAACAAATCGCGTTTTTTTGAAAAATTAAAAAATTTGTTTTGCGAAATGTTATTTGTGATCATCTCTATACACTAAAATAAATATACTTAGATAAGAAATACCAGTAACAGCGTAAGAAGCTAAATGTGTTTTGGCAACTTTTAACTTTTTTTAACTTTCATCTACGCCATCGAACTTTTTTTTTATGGTAATAAATATACATATATTTTTTAGAATTCCTGTAGAACTTGATTTTCTGAATTCATTAACGTATTGTCACATTAGACTTTTTGGGGTTTTAAAATTTCGACATTCCTCTTTTCGGGAAATCGGGACCGGGGAGGCCGTAGTGCTGAGCTTGCCACAGATTGATGGACTGTGATTTTGCAAGCTCAGCACGAGAGAGTCTTTTACTGGGCTTGTGCCGGAGCTTCGGAAGGCCTAGAGTGTGTGTGGTCGCCCACGGCGACATAAGCTAGGTAAGTAGTTTTAGTAGTTATATTTTTTTGTAAATTTTTTTGGTTCTTTTGTGATAAATAGGTTTTGTTTTAATTTTTTTTTCTAAAAATTTTGAAGATTTTTGGGGGCACGTGAAAGTATTATTACGTTGAACGGTGATTTAAAATCGGCATGGGTAACACTCAACAATTTATTTGTCAATAACTCAAATTTACACAACCGATTACACAGTGATTATGTACAAAATAATTCCAGCGCAACTTGACTGAACTCTGTCTTCGCTCAACTCGATTTGTTGACTGAATAATCGTTCCTGACCTTGCCGCCGTCACCGACGATGAGTCACCCATCATCGCCGCACATACTAGAATATATTTGGTCTAAAGTGCACTTAGTTTTAGGAAAAGGATAGGAGCACTCATGAGTTGAGAATTAGAAGAGGCAAATCATAAATTGCTCCAATATCTAAATATCGAAAAAATGCATAATACCGCGTTTGCGTTTTCAGCAGTTCACATGGAATTCACATTTCACATTTCATTTTGTTTACAACGTTTCGACAGTAAAAGATCAATATCAAGTTTTCTATAAATTTTGTTAAAAAATAGTCACTGTCTTCAAATTTGCGTAATTTACCTAAAGTTGTTTACAATAAATTCGTAGCTCTTAGAATATCTGTGAAGGAAGTTACATTGCAAAACATAAAAGGCTTTGTTGAAAAATTAATGCCAAAGTTTCTAGAAAAAATACACTTTGTCATTATACTCACTCAAGCTTAAATAGACAAAAATTAATTTGTTTAAATTAACTCGTATTCCTGATTGCCGAAATCAAATTATGACGGCTACCAAAGCATAGACTTGACAATGTAGAAACGTTTAATACACTTTTTTATGAAATTTTGAATAAATGATGCACAAAATAATAAACGACCTAATTTTGAATATTCCACTTTTTAAAAGTCCACCGTAATCACACGTGCTGCGCGCTGTTGCAAGCAGGAAAAATAAGGTTAGCCTCTATTTAACTTTTTTCAATACATACCGCTTATGGGTGCATTAAGGATAGCCTACATATTAAACGGCATCAGTTTTACTTACACTACAGAGACAAGAATGGGGTCTGCCTCTATGTGGTGTATTGAAGCGCACTGTTTAATTATGAGAAAAGCGAATACCCGTCCAACAAGATAAGAATAACGTCATTTTTCACATTTATTTTTAAAATATTAGAAAAAAAAACAATTTATTAGCCAAATATGTATCGGTCAGAAATAATATAAACAGTTATGCCGCGCAAATTCATTGCTAAAACATTGCCTAACCTGCCTAGTTCGACAAGCCGCCCCTGGAAACAGATAATTGCTTCAAAAATATGAATGCAGCAACATTAAGCCTGTATTTATAGCAATTTTTCCATTTGAAAATATTCCATTCAAGATTATAGCAGAAAGGACACGTATGTCAGTTCCGACATGTGCAATGTAATAACCAATAGTAAAACACTGGGGTGTATTATTCCTGATATTTGATCAATAAAAGAACAAAGTGAACCATTCCTGATTTAACTTATAAAAATATAGATAATAAGTGTCAAAGTCTAAGATTAAAAAAAAAGGGTTAGAAGGCGGACAATGCTACGAAGACGTAATTAGACTGCTGTTTATACATACCAGTACAGGAGTATATTATTGCACTACATTTACGTTTCATTGTAGAATTTTTTGTTAAGACGTTAAAGCCAAATTTTGGTCAGCGTTCTACCATCAGCATGATATTTCTAATATACGTACCTACACACAAAATTTGACGTTGCTTTTACAGCTGAAAATTGTCATTTATAAACTCTTTAGCCAAGTTACTGTTTATATGTAGTTAGTAACATTGATGTTCCACTTTTGCCGCATTTGGAGGTTGTAGAAGAAAAGTGGAGGATTTGAGTAGATTACTACCAAAATTTACCTTTTTAGACATGTTTTAAGTTTCTTGCTGACGAAATAAGTCTACACTTGTTAAGAAGAAAAGGCAAAATGTAGCCCCGCCCACCCGCCTTGTCTCAATTGTGATGATTTTTTTATTCAATGTGCGCCAAGGGGGCGGAGCTTAACTACAAAATACTTATTTCTTTACAAGAAATTAAAAACATGTTTTTAATTGATCTGGAAATAATTTGTTTGCGAAGAAGATAGAGACGATGTATAATTTTTTTTTTTACCTATCTCCAACTGAAAATTTTGACGATTTTTGAGATAATCAAGATCAAATTTTAAAGCAGGTCTTTAATTTTTTTAGTGTCAGTAGTGTTTAGGTAAATACATTATGGCATATGTGATCCATAACAAAAACAGTTTTCAAGATTTACAGAATTTTGGCGAATTTTTGAAAAATTTAATAAAAATGGCGCCTAAATGTTTCACATTTTTCACACTGATATGGTTTAAAAAGTCCAGAAGTGTTATTTTTTAGCCTTGACTACCTCAAGATCTCAACATACAAGAAAATACATCACTTCTTTTTTTGTAATGAGAAGATTAGTTTTCTCTTTTACCAAATTTTTTTAATGTCTAATGAACTCAAAAATTGGATTACCTTTACAAGGAATCAATGATTATGTTACATAAATAATAAAGGGCTTTTTTTTAGAAAAATTTCATGGAAAGGAGAAACTTTTATTTTTATTATAATGAAATATCTTCTTCGAAGTTGAGTTTTATCAATGACTGATCTGGAAATAATTTGCTTGCGACGAAGATAGAGACGATGTAGAATTTTTTTTAGTACTTGATCTCCATTTCAAAATTTTAACGATTTTTGAGACAATCAATATCAAATTTCAAAGCAGGTCTTTCATTTTTGAGTGTCAAGAGTGTTTAGGTAAATACGTTATGGCATTTACGGCTCGTAGCAACAAACAGTTTTTAAGATTAATAACATTTTGACTAGTTTTTTAATAATTAAATAAAAACTTGACAACTAATTGTGTCAGATTTTTTCACATTGATCTGGTTTAGAAAGTCCAGAAGTATTATTTTTTAGCTTTGACAACCTCAAGATCTCAATATACAAGAAAATACATCATTTCTTTTTCTTGTAATGAGAACAATAGTTTTTCCTTTTATCAAAACAATTTTTAATGTCTAATGAATTCAAAAATTCGATTATTTATACAAGAAATCAATGATAATGTTACTTTTTTTTCCTAAATAAAAGCCATTTGTTTAGAAAATTTTCGTGGAGAGGAGTTTTTCTTTTTGTTGTGGACATCGAGTTAAAAGATGGGTGGGTGGGCGGGGAAATTTTATTTTTATTACAATGAGATATCTTTATAGAAATTGAGTTTGACTGATCTGGAAATAATTTGCTTGCGACGAAGGTAGAGACGATGTAGAATTTTTTTTTTGTACTTGATCTCCAACTGAAAATGTTAACGATTTTTGAAATAATCAATGTCAAATTTCAAAGCAGGTCTTTCATTTTTTAGTGTCAACAGTGTTTAGGTTAATACATTGTCATTTATGATCCATAACAAAAACAGTTTTCAAGATTTACAAAATTTTGGCCAATTTATGAAAAATTAAATAAAAATGACGCCGAACTGTAGAACATTTTTTTCACACT